AGCCATGATTCTTCCGAGATTGGGGCAGGAACATTTTCGTTGAAAGTGTCGCTCATCGAATTTAAACAATTCCAAAATGACGCCTTGTCAGGATTTAAAGCTAGTTCGTCGAGTTGTAATGTTTTTTCTTTGTGGAATCCTCTCTTCTGTAGTAGTTGTAGTACCTGTAGTAGGTGTAGTAGGTGTAGTAGCTGTAGTACCTGTAGTACCTGTAGTACCTGTAGTAGCTATAGTACGTGTAGTAGCTGTAGTACCTGTAGAAGCTGTAGTAGCTGTAGTACCTGTAGTACCTGTAGTACGTGTAGTAGCTGTAGTACCTGTAGTACGTGTAGTAGCTGTAGTACCTGTAGTACCTGTAGTACCTGTTGTAGCTGTAGTAGCTGTACTACGTGTAGTAGCCGTAGTACCTGTAGTAGCTGTAGTACCTATAGTACCTATAGTACCTGTAGTACCTGTAGTAGCTGTAGTAGCTGTAGTAGCTGTAGTAGCTGTAGTACCTGTAGTAGCTGTAGTAGCTGTAGTAGGTGTAGTAGGTGTAGTACCTGTAGTATCTGTAGTGTCTGTAGTAGGTGTAGTAGCTGTAGTACCTGTAGTACCTGTAGTACCTATAGTACCTGTAGTACCTTTAGTAAGCTGTAGTAGGTGTAGTAGATGTAGTACCTGTACAAGCTGTAGTTGCTGTAGTAGGTGTAGTATCAGTAGTATCTGTAGTAGGTGTAGTACCTGTAGCATGTGTAGTACCTGTAGTATCTGTAGTATTTGTAGTACGTGTGGTAGGTGTAGTATAATAATTGTTTTGCATGACCGCACCATTGTACAGTATTGCAAAAGCATACCTATTACAATCGAAATATAAAACAAACAACACCAATAATGAACCAAAAAAAAATAACTGCATTACTAACATTCAATCATGTATTTTCATACAGGAGGAAATAAACTCCATAACTAACTCGTTTACATCATGGTTCTTCGAATCCTTTATCAGTTTCATGCTTTCTGGAGATGATTTCTTGTCAAACTCTGGTGTTATTCGATTGATTTGATTAATGAATGCCTGTCTCTGTACTGTGTTGTTGTTGTTTTTTTTGTGGTAGAAGAAATGAATCTTATCGTCTACCTGATCTATGTTCTCTTGACAAATGATCTATTTGGTATCGACCTTGTACAATCAGAAGTTTGTGATTACTTATTTTAAACTTAACCAAAATGTTGTCATTTACCATAATGTCTTACTTGTCTTAATCAGTTGTAGAATATTCATCTTTAAAAGTTTTATAAAATTCAAATTTTTTTTAATTTTCAAGACTGTGTCGCAAAAAAGATACCGGATATTTGTCTCTCATTTCTGTGGTATATCGTCCAATTTTATCATTATCTAAAGATTCTGTATCTAAACTGATGAGATTGTATTGTTCAAACATGTTTATGAATTTGCAATAATATCCGGAATTATTCATAGAATGTAGATTCTTTGACATAAGGAAAGACTGTTTGACTATAGAGTCCTTATCGTTGGTGGTTCGATAAACAAAATAGTTCATAATGTTTTGATTTCTCGGGATAAGCAGCGGCAATCTACCAAGTTCAGCTCGGCAAGCTATGTTAGAGGCCTTATTGTTTACTTGTAAATAACGTTTAAAGAATTTGAGGTGAATTTTTTTTCTATTGGGGAACTATCCCACTTTTAAAATCTTGCTCGGTGCACATCCCCCTTACCTTACCTTACCTTACCTTACCCTTACCTTACCCCTTGACATGGGGGATATCCAGTGAATATGATTGTGTCAAGAATTTGGGATGCGGTGTGAAGACTGTCGTGTCTGCTTCCGAATACTAGAAAACGCCTGAAGGGCCTTCTCTTTTATATTAGTTATCATTGTCGATTTAAGGTGGCTTATAACTGTTTTCCGATGACACCATTGTCTTTTCAAACTTGGACATTTTTTACAACTAAAGGCATTCACTGGACAGAATTGATGTAATTAAGCTTGTAAAAACATTTTTAATGCGTAGTATAACGCGAAATATAGTGGCCAAGCACCCAAAAACAGGACTGGAAACTAGATCTGGGCTGGATCGGAAGGCAATGTAATAAGATGACAAGACACCCAAGACACAAGCAATGCCAAAAATTCAGAGGGCAGTCGCAGCGCAGCGCTGGACTTTCTCTACTTCATCAATCGCTAACAGAGGTGTAGCGCTCTATTAAACTTGCTGAATGGAGAGCTCGCCTTCAGTTTGAACACGTAATAGTCTCTACATGAGTCAATCAGGTGGGTATAGAGCGGGCAAGCCAATATTCCTATTGTATAAGAGAGACGCCCACTAGATATGGAGGAACTCACTTATTTTGTTTGCAGGAACTTACTTTTTTAACTGGTTATAATAATGGGTGATGTCATGAACGAGTATTGTAAGAGCTGCTCGGAAGGTCTTTCATAATTGGTTGCGGGAAACAAAGACATGTCATTCTTTTGGGTCAGGGTTTGCGAAAATTTTAGTTGCAATTTAACGATTTACGCAAGTGAGGATTTTCTGGTTACCTCTCCCCATCACATTTTAGAATCCAAAAAAAACTTTAGGTGACCATTTTTTAAGAAAAATATTGTAACCTGGGAACTGATTTTGAAACATTAAAAATCAGAATTCGTAGGGAATTTATTAGGTATAAAGCATCGCAAATTGTAAATGAATGGAAGGTCCATCTAGGAATTTTTAGTCTTCCTCAAGCAAAAGAAAATTTTGGCAATCTTTGCTTCTCCGAACAGATATTTAGCAGAAAATTGTCTTTGGGTGCCCCTGGTAGCCTCGCCGGGTCAATTTTGCGCAATTGAGCATGGGACACCACAGTCATAAGAACAAGATAGGCCGCGTAAAAATATAAAAGGTAGAAAATATTCCTATATATCACTAACTTCATCAAATGTGTGTGAACCTTGATGTTCCTTTCATAAGCTTGTGCAAATGATCTTTTGTACTTTGTAGAAGGTTCCATTCAGGACTCACATACCTACGTTTTTATTCTATATATTCTCTCGCCCATTAAATCGACCGTAGTTTATATCAATCCCTTTGAGTGTGGACTCGGTTTCACTGCCTTACGCCTAATAATTATCCAAGTTTGGTCGATTGACTAAAGTGAGACTAGTCGATATAAATGCTTGGAAAATTTGCTGGAAGGTGGAAAGGAATCTTTACAATTCCTTACACCACTGGACGCCCCTACTAAGGCTGCTACAGCTACTCCAGATACCACAGCTACTACAACTGCTACAGATACTACAGGTGCTACGGGTACTATACCTACTAAACCTACTACAGCTACTACACCTACTAGACGTACTACAGCTACTAAAGCTACTACAGCTACTACACCTACTACAGATACTACAGCTACTACAGCTAATACGCCTGCTACAGGTACTACACCTGCTACAGGTACTACACCCACTACAGGTACTACACGTACTACACCTACTACAGGTACTACAGATACTACAGGTACTACACCTACTACAGCTACTACAGCTACTACAGCTACTACACCTGCTACAGA